ATATATATTAGTGTGTGTGTGATACCTGAATGTATCAAATTGTTTATAATTCAGAAATAACATTTCATTTTGCAGAACATGGATAAAAAAAAATCATACAAAGACATGAAAATGTCTATTGTAAATGGTAATAACAACAATGGCAGAAATTTATAAAAGTTAAAACAAGAAAATTTGGGAGAAAATTGAATGGGTCAGGGTTATTCTGGCAGCAGTCCTTGGGTTAGATTTAAAAAAAAAAAAAAAAAAAAAAAAAAATTATATATATATATATATATATATATATATATATATATATATACACACACACACACACACACATTATTACTTCTGTCCAATAACAGTTACATTTGCATAAACATCTCATATACTAAATATAACTATGATGGAACAGAGGTAATAAAAATCTCAGATTTTTTTTTCTCAAGTCATTTTAAGAAAATGACACAAATTTATATTGGCATTTTAAATAATTGGTATAATTTTTTGGATTAAACTTTCATATAAAAATGAAATTTTTTTCCCCTCTAAGTATGGAGAAGAAAATATGAGGAAAGTTAGTTACAAAGTTAGTAAAAGTCACCATCCACAGGATGAGTAAAACAAGATGTTATACAATCTCCATAGGAGGCATTGACTTAAAGTTTGAAGAATCTGACCATAAAATGAAAATCACTTCCACTAACACCTTGAATGCTCAAAATTAGTTGTATTAAATGAGTACTGCTCACAAAGAGTAGCAGCAATGGTTGTACTATATTTTTTTTTAATGTTCCAATTCCAAGAATTTTGAGGTAACACAATTGACACAGTGTCAGTTAAATGTGTGCCTCCAACCTCAATTATTCGGGTTTCCTTGGCATCAAGGATTAACCTCCCTTAAAGTTCAATAAAAGAGGTGCTGTGTGGAATTTTGCTTGAATTTGAATATTTCTTTAACAAAGTAAAGCAAGAAGGGTGATAGTCAATGAAGCAGACCAAGGCAGATATACCAAGAGATTTAGAAATAAGAAATTTGCCAATCAAAAGGTTATGAATTTAATCTTAATTGTAATATGAAAGTTTAGTGAAAAACATTTAAAAATAAACATTTTCACCCTATAATTTGTGAAAATTTTGCAAAAAATTAAGTTTAAGAATAAAGTAATAAATTTTAGAGAAAAATGTGATTTTAAACTGTTAGATAATTTGCATAAAAGTTAATACTGTCTAATTTAAACTAGATTTTTCCAAATAGAGAAAAGTGGTCCTTAAAAAGTTTTGTTAGTGGAAAGAAAGAAAACACACACAGCAATATTTCTAATCTTGAGCAACAAGTTTTCTGATAGGCATAAAAATAGAGAAAAATAAGCAAATTGTAAAAATGGTGTAAGGTGAAAATTTATGTCAGGTCTTTAAAAAAGATATTGAACTTTATAATTTAAGAAAAAAAAATGCATGTAATAAACAGTAAAGATTAAAAATACCTCATTAGTAAAACAGTGGAAACATTCAGGGGGAAAATGAAAGCAAGTCACATTTGAAGTTTCACTTGGGCCATATAACTTGTATATTTAGGCAGCAGTCCCTATTTAATAGGGGTTTTGTTAAACAAGACTGAAGGATTATTTTGGGGGGGTTGTGTTTGTTCTTGTTTACATACAGGTGTCATCTTTTCTGAACTTAATGTGAAAAATTGTCCAACAGTTTCGTTCCAGGTGCTTTCAGCTAAACTGTTAGCAATTTTCAAGAATTATATTTTTTCTTTTTTATGATATTATTAAAAAAAGTGTAAGTGCTGTTGTAGATGGTAAATAAGTTGCTGAAGAAAGTAGACATATTCTTAATTTTCAAATGGATAACAGTTGATCTGAAAGCACTCATTCATTAACATTCAATGAAATGTTCAGCTTATCTGTTCTACTCAGTTTGCAGACATAGCATCCACTTGTTAGTGATAATAAAATTGAATTTATTTAGTTTTATTTATATGCTAGTTACTTGTGCTGTCAAAGATTTTTTATTATAAATTTTTAATATCTAAAATTTTGCAACCATATATATGAATTTACATCTTCTGTGTCAATGTTAATAGAAACTCCACAATGTTTGAAAGTATTTTTTACTTGTATCTAAATTCTTATTACTGCATGTATTTCAGACCTACGAAATTTGATGGGACAGGAAATATGTAAATACCCATTGATAATGACTTGATGACAAATCTCCCTTTTTATGGAGAAAAATAATTTATATGGTTTAATTAATAGTGCTGAAAACCCACTTTATAGATGAGATTTTAAGCTATTTACTATGGAAAGTCAGAATAGGTTATTTGACTGCAATAAAAGATTGTAGGTTTAGACAATATATTTACTAAAATTCTACTTTAATTGAAAGTCATCATCATTAACTTTTGCATTAGATTTAAATGAAATATTTATGGAATTTCACAAAACATTTTTTTTTTTAAAATCAAGTTTTTAATATTTTATTTGAAGCAATAAACACAGGCATAATACCAAACCATTTTTGTGAGGTCTTACAAGTTAAAACACAACCTGATCTTATACATCGAGATGGTGTAATGGTTAAGAAGTTTATTTTGTTAGATCAATTATGACTGAATAGAGAGTTTGATCCTCACTGGGTGCTGCCATGTTTTTGGCCTCATGCCAACCTAACGTTTTTTTTTTTTTTTTTAAAGTCCCAATTTTCTGGTGACAGGAGAAAAAGATAATTTTGCTTTCTAGCCAGATGTCTACCTCATATGTTTCAACAGATGAATTAGCCTGACAAACACAAAACAGGGGTCCAGTTTAGCCTTACACTTGTAAATAAAAACGTCAACAAAAAACTTAATGGTGTGTTTATTTTATTTTATTTTTCTTCCTCTCCAAGAAAAGAACGTTCTGTAGTTACTAATGAAAACCCTCAGATTCCTTGAGTTATACAATGATATCATGAATCTCTCTGGCCCTTGTCAAAATTAATGGTTGTAAAAGCTTTTTACTCTCACAAGAGAACAGTTTGCTTCTGTAACATACTAGAGATGAGACTTTTTTATCAAGATGACTGAGGAAAGGACAGAGTAAAAGGATGGGGGTTCATGGCTTTCTCAAGGAAGTGAAAACAAATAGCTGAAATTCAAACTGAATTTATCAGCACAGAATTTGTTGTTAAATAAAAGCAACAAAGATTTTCTGAGTAATGACTAGTTGCTCATTCCAAACAGACAAATGAATGCTTTGTGGTAGTTGAAGAAACAAACTGTAGTTAATACAGTAACTAGGTTGAGCAGACAGTGTCTGGGAAAGTGTGCAATCTGGTGTCATCATTAACTGAATAAGGCCAGTACACTCAATAACAATGACTTTGTTGACAGCTTCCAATCAATTTCACTCAAACAGGAACTCTCAAGATGCATTTTTAACCAATTAATTGCAGCAAAAGTGTGCATCATTTGTAATTGATGCAGATGATGGCAATGGTGTAAATTCCTGCTACTCACAATCAAAAAGAGGCTCAGTCAAATTAAGGGAGATAATTGAATTGCTATGCTAAACACCATGATGAAAAAGGCAGCTGGAAGTTTGCATTTCATCTTTTCTATAAACATGTGGTAAAAGGCCAACATTCTGGTGCACCTAGGGAACACACTAGTAATGGTTTGATGTGACTTGGTAACATTTTTTTTTTTGATGTAATTTATATATTTTTGAGTACATCTAACCCAGATAAAAGAAATATGTGCATTTTATTTATATATATATATATATATATATAAATTTCTCAGTTAACGTGTAGGAAAAGAATATGTATAAAGGTAAAAACAAAATGGGAAAAATGTATTATTAAACATGTTTCGTCCCAATGGACTTTTTCAAGGCAAAAACGAAAATTTTTTTTTTTTTATTGAAAAAGCCCACATTGGATGAAACGCATCAGCTAATAGTTTTTCTATTGTCTTTTATATATATATATATATATATATATATATATATATATATATATAAGCACAATTTATTTTCTAATAAACTTCAAACAGATGTACACACCCTCAAAAATAAAACTGCTTGATTTTAACAAATCAAACTAGGATTGCTGAATTGGTCTCTAGTTTGAAAGCCTAGTACTAATAAAACTTGAATTGACCTTCCTTTAAAAAAGTAGCTAAATCAAATCAATTATTGTAATTCAAACTTTAATTGTGCTGGGCTTTCTCAAGTAATTCAGTCTAGCAACTCTGAATCAAACAATTGATAAAAGAAGCTCATTTGTTATTGGAGTTGTAACAGTTATTAATTACAGATAAAATTAAAAAAATTCCCCTCTAACTAGGTTCCCACCTCCCTGGTGAATTTTGACAAAGGCTGGATAGATTACAAACATCTGTGATTTTTTTTTTTTTTTAAGTTTAGAATAAACAGAAAAACCTGTTATTAATCAAGTTTTGAATAATTAGAAAACACAATAATAGTAAAAAATATGCAGTTTGTAAGACAGGTATTAAGCATCAAATATTAGTGCCCACCGATAACCTATCACAGTTGTGCCAAGATGTATTTCCCCAAAAAACCAAATAGAAATTAAAAACGTTATATTTTTAACCCACCCAAATAAACATAAAAAGTGGAGAAAAAAAAAAAGTGTCAAAATGTTAACATATTGTAATGGTCTTTCATCGATCAAAATTTAAAAACAATATAAAATATTTTTTTATATATTTAAACAGGCTTCAAAAAAAAATTTTTTTGGTGTGGGGGGGGATCTTGAGAGTTGACGAAATATTTCATATGATTCATTATATATTTCATTATATATTCTTCATATATTTTAAAGTTAATTTCCACTTTGGCTTTTCAACTTGGAAAGGAAAAACAAAGAAAAAAGTAAAGTAGAAAAATTGATAGAAAATATTAAAAAAGACAAAAAAAGACCTTTTCTCAATATGTTAAAATTTAAAGATTGACCTCTTCAACTTCTCTTTATAATTCTCTTGAATTTTGGAAGGAACCTGGTCAAGAAATATAGGATGTGGGGAACTGCTGTTTGTAGAGGTAAGCCAGCATCTTTGCTGACATGCAGAGAGTTTCCCGTCGACTGACTCCAGTTAGTGCTTGATGCCAATTAGCTCGACCAATATGAGGCTGGGCTTCCTCCACAACTTGTCCAATGGTAACTGCCAGACCAGACCATCGAAGAGGATAATCTGAAGGAGTACGATCCTGAGCTGTCAATACATAGGCTGTAGGGATTGGTGTTGGCTGGGAAAATGTATTCACAGTTATCTGATTTACAGGATCATGTAAAAGCAGGCAACTCATTTCATACCAACTGTAATGAAATCATAAAAAGAAACACTGTTAGAAAAAAAATAGAGAGTGAGAGAAACACATTAACTTAACCCATTAACAGTGAATGGGGAAAATATTTGTTATTATTGATAAATTTTAGTTTTATCTGAATCCAATCAAATAAGGGAAGAGGGCTTTGAGAATTTGACACTCACAGCTCATATTGAAGGCAAGTAACCTGCCTAATGGTAATATTAGCCGTTTCTCTACAAGGAAACATTTGGCATTCATTAAGTGAGCAGCCAGTACTGCTTTCAGTTGAAATTTATAAAATCTTTCTCTTACAACAATGAGGATGGTAGAATAGGAACTAGGAGGGATAATAATGAAACAAACATTACTTAGGTTGTGAAGAGCCAGGATCACCAACATCTTGAAGGGACAAAGCATATCAAAGAAGCAGATGAGTATCAAATAGGTAATACTTTTTTACGAATCAGTACTCAGAAGCAATTTAGGCCGAGGGTAAGTTCAAATTTTAATCCTCTCTCAAAATATAGATTATCAATGAAGAGCTTTGCCAATAATTTTGTCATATTGATTAGTGAAGCCGAGTTTTATCATCCAATAGTTAAGGATTTATTTATTGGATACTGAACACCAATTATTTCACAAGTAGACTGCTCATGAAACAAAATATATATATATATATATATATATATAAAAAGAATGGATGCTGACCTCAACACAGTGGCGAAAGTCTGTTTCTGACATGAACGTAATCTTCAGGCCATGTCTGTTTGGTACTAGCTTGACTATATATGTTGGGCAATGGGGAATTATGGTTAGCAAAGTCAGATAACACAATGAATTGGAAATACCTGACCTTGCTACTCAATGCCCCATTGGCCAACATATATAAAGTTGAGCTACCACCCAACACAAACGGCCTGAAAATTGTGTTCAAGCATAAAAATGGATTGTTGCTACTCAGACTCAGATTTTTTAATCTAGCCAAGGTGCTGTAACAATTTTTAAAATATGAATTTTCTAAATAAATGTATATTTTTTTTTTACTTTCTCTTCTAAACCATTTTCTGTAGTAAGATTTTTTTTCTTTTTATTATTCACACTATTTAACATTAAAAAAAAAAAAAAAAATAAAAGATAAGTATCACTAATTGCATTGAAAATTAAAGAAAAGGGCTACTGAGTTATTCCTGCCACAGGCTAATAAAGAAATTAATTTTCTGCCAATATGTTCTATAAACTGTAGTGTCACCCTTTCTACACTTGCATGCACACGCACACACTATGGATGCATATATTATCTCATTGTAAATAAATTTAAAGTATTTAAGAGTTGCTCCTTTTATTATGTATATTGATTTTTTCCAATTCAAAATGAGATTTAGTAAAATTTAAGAAATTTGAAAAAATGGTGAAAAAATGGAAAATACCAAATTTTGAATACAAAATTCATGTATAATTATGTTCTTCTATACTAAAAACATGCAAAAACAAATTTGTAGTAAAAATAGACTTGAAAATTCTAAATTATAATAAAAGCAAGTTACAATTTTTAATTTTTTTTAGTCTAAATATTTTTGAGAACTTTGAAGAATTTGTCGAGAGATATAAAATGCCACAACCAATACATGCTTGTTTATAGAATTTATTTATTTCTTTGAAAACCGAATTATGATTAATTAAAGTATGTCACTGTGGATAATAGAAATATATAAAGTAAGGATAATTCCCTGCTAATTATTTTATGAATAAAACTCAGGGAAATGATTAATTAAAAGAAAGAGGTTAGTGGAGGAGGAAGAGAGGATATTGGGCCTCAAACTCACATCCGACCTCAAGTAGAATTCCTATACATCATTAAAGATGTAGGTAAAATGATTGGCTCCTTTTACCACATCAGTAAGTATCTGATTCCTCATTCTATGCTCTATCTTTATAAGAGCCATATCAAGCTGAATGGAATAATGTTACCATATTTGGGCTGGAGCTGCCCAGACCTCACTTTCCAGTCTTGTTAGAGTTCAAAAGCGTCTCCCAGTCCTAGTGGGAGAAGAATTATTTTCCAAACTCCAAACTCTCTCCCACAGGCAGGATGGGGCAAGACACTGCTCTATTGTTACTAACATGGAAAGTGCTCGCACAAACTGCATTTCGTAGTTTCACCAAGTCTGACCTTCACGGTTACATACATAGTAGCAAACTGCCTACATTACCCCAGTATTCCATCAGTGAGAAGTAACCGCCACTCAAGCAGCTTCTTCCCACAAGCCACTGTCCTCTGGAACAGACTCCCTAGAGGATGTTTCCCTGATCACTACAATCTTAACCTGTTCAAGTCTAGAGTCAACTGTTATCTTCCCCTCCTGTTATATTACTATTTAATGTAACTCTGCCTTGAGTGGTATCCAGGCCTTGTACAGGGTGAATCTAACTGTAATAAAAAGGTTAATGGCAGAAGAGATGAAAAACTGCAAGGAACCAGTGACATGACAAAGAAAGAAAGATAGGCCATAAATAAAGAGTTGAAACTCATGATATCAATGTCAAAAGTTGATAGACTTACTTTTCTGGCTGTAATTCAACGATGAAGCCTTCAATGGCAGCAATTGTCTGTTTCTCACTGATATCTTCAGATTCTCGTAGACGAGCTATTCTTTCACTGGCACTTCTCAATGCTGCAGAGAATCCAACAGGCTGTGTGGCTGCATTTGATTCACTCCCCTATTTAATGCACAAATGCCATATTTTGATAAGTGCAATTTCTATTTGTTCATCAATAAATCAGAAACTGACAATTAAGATTATTGGCACAATAGAAAAAACAGACTTTCTTCAGTTGATGAAGAAAAAAAAAAAAAAAAACAACATTTTCTTTTCTGTTCCACCATCTTCTCTTCTCTTTCAGACAAGTTCATAATTCCGTCCTTCCAGAACTTTATCGGATTATGGCCATGTCACATTGAAACAATACTTCCCATATGATCATCGAAGTTAAGCAATGTCAAGCCTGGTCAGTACCTGGATGGGTGACCACTTGGGAATACCAGGTGCTGCAAGCTTGAATGTGTGGGTGGTGTCATGGATAATGACCTGGAATTGTTAATTGGAGAGCAGCATTCTAATTCCTGTTAGGTATTCATTTAGGTGCAAATACATTTGGGAATGGTATGAATGCAGCTTTTTTATCTCAATAGAAGGATTTGTATCAGTAAATCATTATTGTCTCCTAAATATGCTTGCAATATGAAAATATTCTCTGGCTTTAAATAACCTGCAAAGAGTTGATAAGTTGTAAAAAAAAAAAAAATGCATCGATCTATCAGTCCAAAACTTTGTCAACAAAGCACTGCTCAGAAGTTTTGCAGTTTTCCAAACAATTGACTCCCCCCACTTAAGAGAATTCTTTAAAAATCTAAAATAGTAATCAGAAGGTGACTATAATGGATGACAGATTTTCAAAGGGTCACCAAAGAAACATGTACTGTAGTTTCTGTCTGAATTTTTTTTTAGATAAGAAGTTATTTATACTTGCATTAATGACCTCATCTTTGTTGCTATTATCACAACATTTCAGTCACTTTACCCTCCTGTCTTCTTCATATATCAGTTACTCAGTCAGTCCTGGTAACCTTAAGGGAAAACCCTACAGGGAGTAGATCATTCTTATTTCACTGTCAATGTCTACGGTTATCTCATCTTGTTCTTATTTAGCACTGCTTACTCAGTTTACCTGACCCAGAAATTGAACTCACATACTACAAAATTCAACAACTAACACTTTAATCTACTAGGCTATTCCATGAGACAATCCTGAGCCTTAAAATTTTTTTATCATACTTGCTGCTTTCACACTAATCCTATCCTGATGGAATAATTATAGTTTCTCTTTTTCATTGATTGCTGTCTTCACTTGGAAGCAATGCTTATTCATTCAAAAGAAGCCAGTACTAGACGATTCCTTTCCAATCCTATCAACTTCTTTGTGGGGGGAAGACTGGTCTATAGTATGATTAGTGGTGGTTTATTTCACTCATGATCTCTCATGTTCCACGTTGCTGTAAAGTATCCACTTTTAATTGCCAGTCATTGTTTTTTTTCTTCTTTTTTTTGTTTTTAATGAAACTTTAGTTACATTTAAGTAGCAAATTGGAATGGAAGCTATACTCTAAAGTGATTCAAATAACCGAGATAGGGTGAATGATTTTCAACAAGGTTTAGATATCCTGAGTATATTGCTGGTCTTCTACATTCTATAACATTTATGATTCTCAAGTAATATCTTGATTTGATTGCTATAAACTACAACAGGTCTTCCTGACTGGGAAACATCCATCAGCAAGAATCTTCATGTCATATAGGAAGAGGATGAGTAACTAACGATACCGAGGTTCGAGCATGACACTCTGCACTTATGAATGAATATGTGTTTTCTGCCAGGTGTATAAGTAGTGGTGTCAGACTACTGACTGGAGTGACTATTGAGTGAAACTATCCAGTCAAATTAGTGTGAATTATTGTGTGTTGATGATTTTGATTTAGGATTTAGTGAATGTTAAGCCAAGCCACTCTACTAAGAAATTATTTTTGGTTAACTTTTACTTTGTTCTTGTTAAGTATTTATTTGTGGTTGTAATTAAATACTGTTTTATCTTAACACTGAAGTCTTGAGTTATAGTTAATCATTAACAGCCACCATACATCACAAAACTTCAAGAACCACTTGACATATCTGATTAGTTACAGCACCTTTTGTTTTTGTATTCAAGTTGTATTTTTAACTTAAAATGAAAAAAAAAAAAAAAAAATGATATTATAATGAAAATGTTGCTGATTTTCTTTCAAAGTTAGAATTGATAAACAAAAATTTTGCTATTTGTTGTTTTTTTTTTTTTTTTTTTTTTAAATGCACAATTCAGACTAAAAGCATGACTTACTCGGCCAGTGACAGTAGCACATCCAAATGCATCTTGCATTGCCTCTCTTACTGGTCCAATTTTTACTTCTTTTGCTGATGCTACAATGATGTCAATCTCACCCCCACTTTCTGAGGAAAAAAAAAATTGTATGCATCAATTAAAATAAAGAAAGAATTACTTTCTGGAAAATATACAAATGTTTCTTTTACCTTTTATTTATTTTACTTTTTGTTGCTTTTTTATTTTTGCAGGTTGTTTTTTTTGTCTTATTTTTTAAAATTATTCTCAGAAGATTAACTAAGCAGAACAGATTGGGAATAAGAAGTATGCTTCTACAAGATTTGATATCCAATAATATGGGATACAGGTTCAAATCTCATCAGAAGCAAGTAGTATAGCTTTCATCTTAATTTCTGTTGCTTTCACAATACTCAAATCATTTTTATATTCTATAACTTAAATAAAAAGCATGGATTTGAAATATCCATATCTTTGGGAATTTATATTGGTGAAGGGATAACATAACTAAATTTGATTGGTTTCTGCCGATTGATTTCTGTAGCCTAATCAGTTGAGTGCTGTCCATATCAGATGAGTTCTAAAAGATACAAGATCAAACCTTGTTGGAGGCTTTTCTTTTTTTAAATTTTCTTTTTTTTTTTTTTTTGAATTTCTGATCCATGATTATGTGACAATCATACTGTTATTATTTGACAACTAACAATTTTAACATATTAACATATTATCTGAGGCACAAATATAAAAAGTGGGAGTGTTGAAAAGTTCTTACCCATTTACTAAAAATAAGTATCTTGATGCCTGATCATTGGGAAGTGGATCATGTCAACTTTTCAGCACCTCCCCTTTGTATTATAATAGCAATCACCAAAAATATTTTGTAAAGAATGCATATTGTTCAAACTGAAATCATTGATAAATATCAATTAAGGTAGTGGTGGTGGTGGGGGCATTTACTTGGAATCTCCACTCGGAATAAGGAAGCATTTTACTAATAACACTGGTCAAGTAGCAATATTTGGTTTTCTGTAACAGGAAAAAAATAATTTCCACTTACTGATATATTCCTTCATTTGAGGGTCAAGTGTTGACATCATAATTTCAACAGAACTCTGCAAAACAAAGTTAAATATTTATGTCAATCATAAGTCCCATAACCAATAAGAGTCATAATGGAAGCCACATGTACTGCAGCTGTAGCACTGAGGATGTGGCTAGAAAAAAAAATAACCAGACGGAGCCCATCCCTCTTCAAGCTGATTTTGAATTTATATTTGCCCTTCTTACCAGGTTTTAAAAGTCCAGTCTGCCTGAATGCAAATTCTTGTAAATAATTTTACAAGAGTGTGCATTTAGTTTTCCTTCTCTTAGACTGACTGCCACTCAAGGCAAGACAGCTCAGTCTTCCCTGCTAGAGATAGATGGAGTCATGTTTTTTCTAAAGGCAAAACTTAGAATTTGAACTCAGTATGCCAATTCGATTTTCTGCACTGATAAGTTACGTTACCCACACAATTATGAGAAATCATTAAAAGGATTTCAAGTAACACATATATCTCAAACATATTTTTCAATATCATCAAGTCAAAAAGTATTAATCTCAAAAAAAAAAAAAAAAAAAAAAAAAAAAAAAATCAATATCAATGGTTTTATTGGTAATGGAGTTTATGTTATGCCTTGAACATTAAGCAATGTCAAACCAGGTCAGTACCTAAATAGGTGATCACTTGGGAATATCTGGTGCTGGTAGTGTGATGGATAATGGCTTGAAATTAGAGAGCAGAGTTCCAAATCCAGTTGGGTTTGCTACATTCACTTACATGCAAATACCCTTAGGTAAGGTATAAATGCACTTCTCCATCAGCTATGGGTCAATTAGTAGGACATGTATCAATAAATCATTATCTCAAAAAATTCTTACAATATAATAACAATATTTTCTGGCTTTAAATAACCTGTAAAAAGGTTGATAAGCCATAAAAATAAATCAATAAACTTGTTAACTAGTTTTTTTTTTACACTGTCAAAAAGGATAAAATTGGTATTTTGTAAATAAAATACACATTTTTAAAAAGAATGAAAAATATAGCAGTATATTTTTTTTTATGTGCCATGTCTTTTCTGGACATCCTGTCTTTTGTAACATTGTCTTTTTGCTATATATTCTAATCGCTTGTTAACCATTAGCTCACTGGGTCGGTTATGCATTGTTTTCCTCTGTCCCTCTTGCCTTTAATCTGTCTTGTGATTATCAAATTTTCTAAGCCCTCTTTCCTCAATGTGTGTCCTAGAAATTTCAACTGTCTCCTCGTGTTAATTAAGTGTCCTTTTTGTTTCCATTTTGACCAAAACTTTGTTGTAGCTCACATGTTCAGTCCATGGTATTCTCAGCATATTTCTGTAGAACCACAGTTCTGTTGATTCAAATCTCTTCTTCATCTGTGAGATTGTTCAGTATTCACTGTCATATAGGATGACTGATATTACATAACAGTTCAGTACACTTTTCTTTGTTTCTAATGAAATTTTTCTGTTTCTTAATACTTTGCTAAGCTTTTGGAAGGTACCTTTCAAGATTCCAATGTGTCTTCAGATTTCAGTGTTGCACTTTCCTACAACATGCTGTTTAAACTTAATTCCTGAAGGTAAAAGTAAAATATTTTCTCCACTTTTGGAAATATTTTCATGTATTTAATGAGCAACTCCTTCATTCATCATTTTATTCAGTTAGTGCATTTTGTGCTGCTGTGATCACCACTACTCTGCATCCCACAATTGTGGTTTATAGTGACCTTCAAGGCAATACATTTTGCACCAGAAATGTTGAGGTTACACCATCTCTCCTTTGCTCAGGAAGTGGATTTGTTTTTGAAGTTATCTTCTTCCTGCCTTTGCCTAAAAAGGCAGGATCTGCAAAGCAGCAGGTGGTTCAAATTCAGAGTTTCCTTCTCCTAGACTGGTTGCCAAGGCTATAGGACCCTGTCTGTCCTGTTATTTTACCCATTTACTCAAACTAGCCTACAACAATGAACAATTATTACTTTTTGAAATACAGTAAAACATTGATTTAACATCTCTCTATTTAAGGAACCTCTCCTAGGTTACATGGGACACATTTTATTATTTTTGGTATTTGTAGATTGTGGGAGAGAGGTAATCAGTTATAACTAGCCAAAAATAAATTCATTTGGCAACCAGAGGTTATCTACAGTTTGTCAAATTATATATCATTCACCAACTCCTCACACATTTCATGGTTTTTGGAAGATCAAAGAATCAATTCGATACAATTTGTTTCATGTTTGCTACTTTACATATTTAAGAAATTAAAAATGGAGAAACTGTAAAATATGATGGAGAACCCAGATTTAATTCAATTTTGGTAATATAACACTTTTTGTGTTTACCAAAAGAGGATATTTTCAATGTAATGCTTTGTTTATCCAATCAAGTTTCAGGCAATAAATATCTGCATTGATGGTCCTTTTATATTCCTATAGCTCATAACAAACAGCAAAATGCAAAGGCTAGTGTGGTCAGCGATTGGTCTGAAGTATCTAGCAGTAAAAACTACACAAGATCTTCAAATTGCCGCACTATGTCGTACCAGACAATTTTTTTAATCAGAATCCATTTTGCACATTTATAGATCTACTATTCATTGACTATTGCTGCCATATCTGGTCCGGTACTCATACTATATATCTTCAGATTCTCAACCAAATCTAAAGAAAAGAATCAATCCTGACCTGGCATTCCAACTTCAGTAACTTTTCCACTGTTGTGACATGGTTCCCCTCTGTTTTTTCTACAAATATTTTCATAGTAGTTATTCTAAGCTCTCCTCCTTGGTACCTTGACCATATGAATTTAAGCATAATACTAGATTTGCAATTAGGTCTTATCATTTTACTGTTGAAGTTGCTAGATGCAACCGTAAGTTCTATTCTAAAAGTTTCTTTTTTCACACATTTTGCCTGTTTTTTCTCTTCTGGTTTCTTGTTTCCTTGCCAACTACAACTTTCAAAAATTTAAATGTAAAATTAATTGCCATTTTCTGTTTTCCTGAAACTTGTTCTTTTATTGTCCTTTCTCCTCAATAGGGTCTTTTCATTTTCTTCCACTTCTAGCAACTTCCTGCATCTTATCACCTTGCTTGTGGTGAAAAAAAAAAAAAAAAAAAAAAAAAAAAAAAAAATAAACAACACAAACAAAACTCTCAGGATCAAGTGTTACTTGGCTGGAAGTTAGGAAGTTCCCTTTGCAGGCTTATATAAATAGTCACAGTCATCATTTGCAGGAGCTTTAATACTGTCCTTTAGAAATTGGCAAGACATGCATTGTGATGGTGTGATAAGACTGAGAGAATACACTGGTTTTGATTTATGACTTTACAAATACCTTAATATATCAACAATCTGAATTACAGTCTTTCAAAGTAACAGGAACCTAATTTAAGAACAGATGCAGAATGAAAATGTATTTTGTAAAAAGTTAGAAAACAAACCTACTTTAGTTTTTTCAACAACTTTTGAGACAAAACTACTGCTTGAGAACCATCCAAAAAGGCTACTTGTGGTTGGTTCAACACTGGTGGGTGTGGATACTGCAAAATTGTCTGTTCTTGGGATGACAGGAGTTTCCACCTGACCTGAAATTAAATAAAAATTTTATTTCTTTTTAAAACAAGTTCTACATTGTAGTTGTACACACTATGAATTTGAACAATGGATTTGCAAAAATATTAAATGTCCTCTTCTTGACCTTTTCTGTCCCTCTATTTGAAGTCAGTTATGATTATAATATTTTTAATTAAGGCTCTTGCATTTTTTTCTATACTGAATTATATGACTATTTGAAACAACAGACTGGACCATCACTTTAATTCTTATATAGAAAATATAAATAATATATATAAAATGACAAATGTATACAGAGACAATGCTTTGTTTTTAGTCATTTCTTTCTTGTTTATCTTCCATCTTATTGTTGCATTATTTTTATTTATTTATTTATTTTTTTAATTGAAATGCCTAGGTCATTTTTATACAAATCTGTTTGGTACATCTATGTATTTAGAGATTCTAGATAAAAACTAAAGAATCTGCAATGCTATCAAATCTTGACTTCATATCACAGCTTCAGCCACCTTCCTACCACTGTAATCTAGCTTTCCTCTGTTTTTTTTTGTTTTTTTTTTTTATATTTATACACTTTTATGGTAATTGTTCTTTTCATATATGGTACCTAGACTCAATGAATTAAGTGCAGATTGGCAACAATGTCTTGTCATTTTACAGTTGAAATGGCTAGATATAACCATAAGTTTTATGCTAAAAGTTTCTTTTCGAACACTTCTCTTAAGGAAATCTTCCGGTGTGTTTAAATTTTTGAAAATTAATATCAACCATCATTTTTTGTCTTCTTAATTCCTGTTCTTTTATTGTTCCCCTCCTTAATGATTTTTTCTTCTTTCATATTCAATAACCTCTTGTGGCTTTATTGTCTTGCTTGAAGTGAAATCAATTTTCAATGATTTGAACAGCCTATATCCTTAAAACACCATATGACATGGACAATGCCTAACCAATTTGGCTAGTTTGATTTAGCAGGCAAAATTTAAATTCTGTTATAATCTCGCTATTCCTCATCTAATTTCTTTCATGCTATATTGTTTCTTTACATCTAATAGATGCCCTTTTCATTAAGATGTTCGAAACTCTTAAAAGAAACATTTTCATTACTATTAATTTCTGCTATAGTTGATAGCATATGAAAAACTAGTTTTCCCTTGACCCCAAAAGTAATTTAAAAAAAAAAAAAAAAAAACAAAACACACCACTTCATTGTTTTATATATAAAACAGCATTTTAACTTTCAAGTTTTAGGAAGTATATATTTCACTTTAATTTATACGTTTTTTTGATGGAAGATGTGGTGACTTTGATGTTAAGATAGAAGTTAATGTTTCTGTATAGCCAGCCACTCATAGTTGAAGATACCTGTCTACTAGGGCGGCTAGCCAATCCCTATTGCTCAGGTGCATTTTTGTTTATTCAACACCCACAGAGTCCACCTGTGGTTTATACTGCAACTATGCTGAGTAAAACCTTAGTTACAGTTTCTGGGAAAGAGCGTATTATCTAGCATGATCAACAATTTGAACAAGGCCAACACGCTCAAGCCCTGAGGAGTTGTGACTATGTGCTAGCACAGCTATCGATTTCCTGTAATTGTTATATAAATGGAATACGGTGTAAAGGGAAAGCAAGGTATACTTGAGGTGCAATATGTGTGTATTGTGTATGTTAGGGTTCAGATGTGCCACTGCCACTCACTGGCTGGACACTTTTTTCTCATTGACCCCAGAGATGGGGTGTACTGCCCACTTTAGAAATCAGATTTAGATCAGTTTGAACATCACACAAAATCCCATTTGTTTTACTTCAGCATAAAAGGAATAGAAAGAAAATATCAAGTCTTAAATTCTTATTGATTTCAAATTTTTTTGCTCACCTGTACTGGATTGTGGTTCTGATGTAATAGAATCATCAGAGGGTCTATCAGATATATATTGGGTGATACTGAAAAGAAGTAGAAGAAAAAATGAAATAAAAATCATCAGAAAACTAAAACAAAATATGCATTTTACCAAGACAATATTAAGTATATTTTCTTTAACGAAATCCACAAGAACTTCATAGGTAAATCTGTTCCTATTTCAATCTGAATCTTGTTTATTTGAAAACTTATTTGATTAACTGCCATAGAATCAAATATCAATATTTAATTATTAAAATAGATAAAACCAATTCTACTAGGCAGAGGTTCATGAATGATATCAAGTTTATTATATGATTTATGTAGGAAATATTCAATCATTGTCATGTCAACAATTTTCAGCTTCATTCTTTACTAAACCAACATATACTTTGGGGTCATATACATGAATGTTAAAGCATTGCAGACCATAATTCAGTCACCAAGAAATATCCATTGGACACATTCAGCTAACATTAAGTACAGTTATATACAGAACAATTGTTAATAACTTTGCTGCAGTAAACAGACTTGGTAAAAATGGACATGTTAAAACACAAGGAAAAAATAAGAGTAATAAAAAAAATATAACATTACCACAAAGTGGTAATATCAAAATACAACACGATAAATAACAACAACAAAAAAAACAAAAAACAACAGCTAAATCAATTTATCAGTCCTTTCATCAGGAGGACAAATAATGTGCACAGTAACAAAAAAAAAAAAAAAAAAAAAATTGAACACCATGGACCAAATGTCATAACAATTACAGCTTTATCTTTAAGCTAACCAACCACTCCTCCTGTTTACAAGGATATGGCTGGTAGGACTTAATGTAAATGGATTCTAACATTCAGAATTTGCATTGCTCAGTACTGAGAACATTTAAGTTTGGTTGTAAGACCAATTACATTGCTTTTTTTATTACTGTAATGTTTAGCTATCACTGAACCAGTTGTATTTACATACCTATGCAAACTGACCGGTACGTGTTGCTTAATTTGTGCTTCCAACATTTGACCTGTTCTACCTACATGGTCAGCCAAACAATTATAATGGTCCTGCTTTATTTGTGATTTCAGTCATAAACAGGTTTTACTTAAGGGATCTTCTTAAAGCACAAGTGTAGCAATCCTGGCAATTTGAAATATGCCAAAAATCATAAAGGGCTTCCTTTAAATAAATTGAAAGTTCTTGGCTTAAGGAAAGAAAGACATATACTGATGTTGCCAAGATTTACAATAAGAATGAATCTTCTGTCACAAATTTTATTACAATATAACTAATATAAAACAATAATAAGCCAAATAAAACAATTGTTTCATTATTAATATTGTTCATTTCTTATTGTGCCAAATTTATAAGTTTATATATGTGTGTGTGTGTGTGTGTGTGTGTGTGTGTGTGAGAGAGAGAGAGAGAGAGAGAGAGAGAGAGACACAGGTTGGCCACTGAAGAGTCATAACTTGTTAGTTTTCAATCTTTTTTTTTGTTTTGTTATAGAGCATTCCTTCAAGCTTAAAATGGTTACATATGATGCAAGTAAAACTCATTTTTTCTCTATTCCAATGAAAGATCATTTATTCAAACCCGGAGAAAATACTGGCAACATTTTAATGTCAAAGTATCTTCTAGTGATAACATAATTTGGAACCTAACCGTTTGGTTTGAAAGAACTGGATCAGTCGACAATCTTCCAGAAAGAGGTCCTAAATGCACTGTGATCACTGATGTACCAGTGGAAGCTGTATGGCAGAGTGTCCTTGAGGATACATCAGCTTCTGCCTGTCCTCAAATAGGCATTGTCAGAACATCTGTTCAAAAGATTCTGAAACTGAACTTAATGTTTCCATTCAAATTAAAAAAAATAAATAAAAAAATGGTTGTAAAATGTTTTATATCATTCAGTCTTTCAGTGGACAACCTGTATATACAGAAAAAATAAGTTTGGTACTATCCATGGTTTCAATCATCTGCTGCTAGTGATGGTCAAGGATATCTAGAATCAGACCACCTTCACAGATAAGAGAGGAGTAGTGCACAGGTGTAACTTAAAAGGCTTAAGACACAAGTATAATATATATCCCAGATCAATGATGAATAATTGAAGGACTAAATGGAAAATACTGAAAAAGTCTTTTTGAAGGATAAAACATGTAACATAGGTTGTATTTCTTTTTCCACATTTGTTATTCAATTACACACAATTTGCAACAATGGCACAGTGGCTTAGCATTTTTTTTTTTTTTTTTTTAAATCAATCTACCTTCTCACATGAATAAAATGTCATATGTATATTTTTGTGGGGAGGGATGTGGGTAATAACAAGGCAGAACTGCACAACACGATGCTCAAAGAATTAAAAGAAATTTGAAAAATGGCAACAAGAAAATGGTTGGGGGGTGGTAACAAAAATTGGATGGAAATTCTCTGAATGTGTGACTTGACAATCACAATGAAATTTTCACATAATATCAACAAATGTGATACATGCAAATGCAAAAAATATGTGCAGTCAATGCAGCATCTCTGAAAATTTAGCCATGCAGGATAAAGAAGTGTAGCACAAATGGTTTTTGCAATGCCAGAGAGAAAAATTCAAAATGGCCAAGATCCAAAGAATTTCAAAAATGTTAAAATAGAGTAAGTGCATAAATAATATATTTTAATTTATTGCTTAAATGTTATTTTTAATGGCTACTCATATTTAAGTAGATGCTCCGTTTTTATTTATTCATTAAACAGTATATGGTGGAGTAATGGATAGCAGCTCAGATTAAGAAATCGGAGAGCAGAGTTTGAATTCCAGTTGAATCCATTACATTTACTTATGTGCTAATACTGGTATGAATCCTCTTCTCCCTCCAGCTATGGATAAATAGCAGGACAGATCGGGTTCTATAGCCTTGGATGGCAACTGGTCTACCGCATAAAGAAATGGCAACCTACTGCAGGAAAAAAAAAATCTGCCTTGTCAGTGATGTATCAAAAGATACATGATTGTCTAAGCATGTATCACGCATGGCACATAACTGATTGCTATTTATTTACATTTACCGGCCTGAATATGTGAGAAATCTTATTAGAAAAATATGCTCTCCAGCAGGATTCGAACTGGTGTTCCCCAAGAGGAGAGTGTCATTAGATCTAACAAGGTTTGATCTTTTAGCTACTAAGGGGAACACAGTTTCAAATCCTGCTGGAAAGTGTATACATTTTCTAATAAGATTTCTTGAATATTCAGACTGGTAGATAGAAATAAATAAATATACTGTTTAATACATAAATAAAAATACATTTACTCGAATATGGGTAGCCATTAAAAATAACGTTTAAACAATAACTTAAAATATATTCGATTAATAAATAAAAATCCATTATATATATATATATATGTATGTTGCAGTGGTGACTCTGGGAGTTAGGCTTGTTGGGCTAAGCCCGAGTGAATCAGCATTTAAGTATGTCTATTTCAAAACAAAAATCTTTCATAGTATGTCATTTTCATTCTTGACTTCAGCTGGATCCAAAATTAATTGTTTTAACTCTGTGCATCAAAATATTGTCAGAAATACATCTTTGATATTGTTCATATTAAAGAAAGAACAAACAAAGTAAGCAAGTTAAAAAAGAATGAAATAAAATTAACATGGTTAAGCAGGCTGCGTAGATTTGAGTCCCTATCTGAGCTGGAGACATACTTAATAGGCAATGTATTTCTTGCTTTAATTTTATAAATAATCTTTTAAAAATCTGTAATGATTTGTATGTCCAGTTTTTCAAAGAACACATTTTTATTTCAACTTATTGTTTTCAAATGTCTATTTTAAATAATTTATTCCGTACAGTATAAGTTTTTTATTTTTTAGCAGAATGTATCTTTTGAGAAAGGGCAAATAAGATTTTTCAGTGAAAATCAAAGAAAGTGGCAGCCTTAACTCATTGACTGGAGGGTTGGGATGAGGAGTGTGACTTGGATAGTGTTGTGGAAATATGATATCAGTCAACAGTACTGATCATAAATGTACAGTAAATTAAAGTAAAAATTCAGAGAGAGATATGCAAACACACTAACGCATAGATATGGACATTATATAAACACAAACTCTACCATCAGTGACTTGATAACCAGGCTATAAAACAATAAAAAATTGAAAGGAGGCAATAAACAGAAAAACATATCAAAGATTTTGTCCTCACTCTTTTTTCTTACATGCCTGGAATTTTTCTAAAATAAAATGTTTATTTTTATAAATTACAATTAATATTAAAATACCAAAATGTGTTTTTTTTTTTTTTTTTTCATTTCATGCACAGAGATTTTTGAAAATTATATATATATTTTAGTTAGAGTAAAGGAATCATTTTAACATCCAAGTTATACCAATAATATATTTTGTTAAAGATTGTAATGAGCCCAACAGACATTGATGGCCTAGAGTCACCACTGACATTTTTTATATATATATATATATATATATATATATATATTCTGCAAAGATGTGTTGAAAAGTTCCAAACAAGGCCTATGATTTGATGTTTAGTCATCTGTCCAAATGTTTGCAAAGTTAGCTGAACTGAGAACTTTTCAGCACCCACTTATAGATAAATTTGAACTCAAAGGCCACTAGAGGCTTGGCTTTTAGTAAGAAAGGAAAATTATTTAATCAAAATTATAAAAGTGGATTCTCCGTCCATCACACAATGTCTGTGTGCAACTGTGGATGTGCATATATAATGTATATGCACATGTGACTTACAGGTGTATATACCATTTAATGTACACACATACATATACAATTTTATTGAGTCCCACATAAAATATTAAAGTACAGTCCCTCTTCCTCTCAGTCTAGACAACCATTACTCTGGGCTGAACAATAAAATCATCAACTGGTGGAGGCAAAAAAAAAAAATTTTTAAATCCTAAACAAATAAGATTTTTTATTAAACTTTTCAGAAATTATTCTGTAATAATTAGAATTATTTTTTTAAAGCATTTTTCCTAAATTTTGCAGGAATATTTTTTTGGCTCATCATT